GGGGCAAGGCGGGGCCGCGGTGGCGGGGCGGCGCCGCGATGCGTTCCGGGCGTCGCCCCCCAGCCGGCGGCCCGGCCCGCCTCCAGAAGCACAAGCCCACGAAGCCCACGGACGCAGCTGGCCGCGAAGGTAGGCCACACGGGACTCTGCAGCTGGATAAATCTGGTTTGCGCCAGCCGCCCAGCCGGAGCGGGGCGTGGCGGCGCGCGGCTGGCCTGTTGCTCTTCATCCCCCTTCCCCTACACCCGTGCCGAGCAGATTGAGAATTTCGTGGCTGTTCAGGAGTGAGTTTTGACAGCTGTACCCACAAGATCGCGAGATTTCGTACACCGGCTGCACTCGCCTAAGGAGAAAAGGAAGGAAGGGGGGGAAATAAAAATGGAAGGTGAAGATATGGCCGTCGCCCCGGAGGGTTGCCGTGACGGCCGGGAAAAGTAAAGAGCGAGTATCGCGTCTAAGGGCAAATCACACGGCGAAGGAGTGCAGTCCTAAGTTGTCCGCGCCTGACGGCGATGCGGGTGGAGCCAGGGGCCTCCTGGGCCGGCAACCCCCCGGCCTCTTGAGCAAGGTTAGGTACCGACATGTCAGGACATGCCCTGGTCAGGCACGGGGCCGGCTCACATGCGCGTTAGCAACCGCACCGAGGCACTTACTTGCTAGAACTGCGGTTCTCGTTGAGGCCCACGTTAAAGGAGGTTGAAGTCATGATGGTTTGGTCGGGAGAACAGTTCAATCGACAGGGAAACGGTCGGCACAGACACAGAGCTCTCGCAGACGCACAGTCAGCGAACGGCGAAACAAAACAGAGTCAAGCGACAGCGACACTAGACAAAGCAAAGCGGCGCCTTGTAGAAGCGCGAACTTAGGGATTCGCGCCTTTTTCGTCTCCGCAGACGACCACACCATCATGACTGAAAAGGTACGTAAGGTTTATTTTGCGTGAGATTAAAAAACAAACAAACCTCATGGAAATTGACTGCCAAAATGAAATGTCTGTTTTATTCGTATGACATCATGAGAAACACATCACCGTCACCGTTAACACCCGAACCCAGAAAATTTCGATTTCATAGGTTGGCATTATTTTTGTAAGAAAAACAAAATGAAAAACAAAAATCAACTGCGTTGAACAGTTGAGTGTTGCTTGAAATGTCGAATTTGTGCGTCGGTCATTATTTGGGTTGTGTTGTGGAAGCCTATTTTGCCCTCAATGAAACAAATTTGTGATTGTTTTCACTATTATGCTCTGGCTGGAATGTTGGATTGAACCCAGTTTATGAGCTTTGTGAACGAACAGCAGCACATTTCGGTTTTCATGCTGGCAGTTTAGAGTTCGTCAAGATGTTGAACCAAGCAGCTGTGGAAGCGTTATACTCGGCAACTTATGTCGAAAACTACCTGGATTGTACGGAAAACCTCCCCGACGAATTGCAAAGACACCTTTCCCGTATGCGAGAGCTAGATGTGGAATACCAATGTAAGTGCATGTTAGATAAATCGAGTTTTCACAGTAGGTTATACTGTCAACAATTCAACGGTTTCCGTCAACAAACTTATTCTACGATCTTCAGTCTAGTACTGCGCGTGTAGCACTCATATTTTTTTGCGGGGGCTTTCAATTTCACTTGATATTTTATTCGTATGTTACTAGAGTTTACTAATTCAATTATTGACACTAAGTCAGTGGCACTATCTTGCAAGCCCTCATTTATTTTGCCTACACTTGCGCACTTCATTTGCTAAATTGTAATTTCAGCATTTGTATCAGCGTTTATGCGGAGATTGGCGAATCAACTTGAAGCGGTTCGAAACTCTGTTGAGGACTCAGCTCAATGGAGGCGGGCACTTCTTCGGGCTCAGAAGGAACTTATTGCAGCTCAAGAAGTAGGAGATGAAAAGCTGCACATTATGAGTCAACTTCAAGAGCATATTGATAACAAGGTCCGACAAATGGATATTGACCTTCGTAATTTGGGTAAGGAATATATGGTTACAATGCTACTTCTGTGATGATTTCTTTCCAATGTATCTCATTCTTTGTATGACTTGTCCCATTTAGACTACGGTAAAGAGCAGGAATCCAATGATACTGGAAAAGATACATCCAATTCAGGTGCAAATTCAGGTGGTACTCGTACTGACAATGGCACTGGTTCAAGCGGTGCTGGAGGAGAACGTTCTTCAAAGAGATCTAGAAGAACAAGAACAGATGCTGTGGGTGCAACATCTCAAGGCGACACTGCCAACAATTCACCAGATGTTACTGCCACACCAGAATTGCCACCCAGACGAGAGGCAGCCCCCGTACGGGTAAATTATTTATTTTACTATCTAAATATTTTCTTAAATATTTACAGGTTATTAAATGTCTTTTTTGGTTCTGCTTTGTTTTAGTCCTCTGTAAGCAACACATCCACTGGGAAGAAAGCTGCTGCAGGTGCTGGCAAGAAAAAGAAGAGGAAATCAAGAGGCTCATCATCAGCTGCTACACAGTCTTCATCACAAGCAGTCCAGGATCAGACTCCTCCTCGTGATGATGAGCTGGCCATAGACCCTGATGAACCTACATATTGCCTTTGTGATCAGATATCTTTTGGTGAAATGATTCTTTGTGACAATGATCTCTGCCCGATTGAATGGTTTCACTTTGGTTGTGTGGCTCTATCCACTAAACCTAAAGGGAAGTGGTTCTGTCCCAAATGCCGTGGAGACAGGCCTAGTATTATGAAACCTAAAGCACAGTTCTTGAAGGAATTGGAGAGGTATAATAAGGAAAAGGAAGAAAAGTCATAAAATTAAGATTTTATTTAATTTGCACATAATGTAGAACATGTTTTCTTCTGTTATTTTATTTTGACATTATAAATGTCTGTGTACAAACTTGATGCTGAATGTGATCAGATACTGCTAATTATTTTAATTGCGCATCTAATGTTCTGTGTACAAGTTTCTTAAATCTTCTATTATAAAAGATTAATTAGGTTGTCTTGTTTTTTCTTCCTTTCAAACTTAAGAAATTTTTAAAAGTATTGTGTGAGGAAAGCCGATTTCAATCATTGATGTGATCACCCTACGTGAAGAATGTATCCTGACTGTTCAGTTTTCTTTTATCCTGCAGACGTACAAAATGTTATTTTTTTAATTTTTGTTTATGAAATGTATCAATAGAAATGTATTGTGTATTTCTAAAGTGAGATACTATTTAAACACTTTACTGTTTTATGTATGTGCTTTGTGTCTTCTGATTATGTGCAATCAGTTCACAATTCTGTATATTAAATTTATTTTATAAATATTTTATCTTTTCTGCGACCTTTATAGATTACTCTATCTCATCTGGTCAGTATCATTACTTAGGTTATAGAAGTGTATTTTTGCTAATTTGAGGAATTAATAGTTTAAAACTGCACTCTCGATTTCAATGCCTAGATTCTAGATATTACATTGGGAAGACAAGCTTGCTTACATGCTGCCATTTTCAGGGCTTGTTACTATCCTGAAACATTGAATGCTGTTCTAATGAATTGAGCTGTATTTGTACCTTTTCATATATATCAGAGCACTCAGTGGTTGAAACTGTAGTGTCTACTTGTGCAGAAACAGTCCACTTCCAGGCCCAAGTTGAAACCACCATTATCTCCTATAATGATCATTATTATGCAATTTGTGCATTAAATTTCAGAACAATTTAAGTTCAAATTGCTGATGTAGCCTTTGAGCACACAACATAAATGCATGGCATTGAGATCAATAAGATGTTTCTGACTAAGAATTGTTCATGCATCAAGTGTACACAATAACGGTAATTCAATTCAGCAAATCATTCCTTAATTAATCTATTGTTAGAATTCTGTCTAGAATGTGAAGCAGCACAGCGCTGTGAGGTGCATTCGTCTTGGAGGCAAGGAGATCTCCTTGTTCAAGGTCTTTAAACCTGTAACCATCGGCTGTGAACATATCTATGAAATAAAATTGAAACATTAGGGCAACCATTTTCCGTTTTTAAATACTGAATTAAACCAAAGCTCGGAGCTTTCAAAATGAAGAGTAGCAGTTACTGTACATGACATTTGGAAGTTGTAAGAGGATACAAAATGATTCTCAAGTATAAATAGACAACAATTCTTCATTTCAAGTTTTAATACCGTATGACAGAAGAGAGAAATGTATAGTTTATTGCAGTTACCTAATATTCGGAAAAATACCTGAGAATTCTACACACCTAATATCCTTTAGGCCCCCGAAATCTAGATCTAGGGTCAATCTGAAACAAAAGAGAATGACTGGAGATTACGATCTAGGAATAGTTGCAAACATCAATCTGGTTGATCAAATTGACAATATCAAAAACATTTTATTTCAGCTGGATTCGCAGTCACTTTGAAAATGGAACCAAGCTATAACTTACCATAGATTTCTTACATGCAACAAAATATTCAAATAAATGGTAGCATTCAGGAGGTGCTTTGCGTTGATCCAAACATTGACGGGGAGTTAATTTTTCCTGAAATGAGAATTTTCAGCAGAATCAAAGGTCAGACGTTTCATTATTCCTTAGCTTGCTGAAACTATTAAGAGTGTTTATTACTGCTTGGCTTACCTTTCTACAACAATCACTTTCTAAAAGACAAATCTTTAAGTCTGCTCGAAGACCTCCACAAGTAGACTTGTCAGCTAGCTCCCATCCCTCCTCACCACGATGCGACGTTTCCGTCATTGCCTCCTGGAACATGTGATTGTTAAAATAACTAAATATGTTCAGTAGATCAGGATTAAGTGAGCAAACTAAGATCCAGTCATGAAATTCAAGCAGTGAGGGTTAGAGGATATGGATTAGTGCCAAAACTTCGAATGACAAGCACTGAAAGTAAAATACCTGAAAATCTGAAAGATAGATCTGTCACTGATCTGTCAAAATGATCAAGGGAATATAAAAAGCAAGAACCTAATTCTTCAGTATAGAACCGAATGACATCGACATCTATCTAAACAAAGCAGTAGGCAAGCTTTATTGGCCCTTACAGTGCTGTCGTGTTTATTTGCACCACAGCCGGTTGGTTCCGTACAGACAGACAGACAGACAGACAGACAGATTGCCGGAAGGAACGAAGAAACAAGGAAAAAAACAACAACTATTTTGTGGGCTGTTTGTTTGGTTTGTTAAAAGTGTCAATTTAGAAATTTTCGGGGGCTGAACATGCAATTTAATCTTCACTCCCGGTGTAAAGTTTTAATGCGGTCCTCGTATCTCATTCTTTGAACATGCAAACATGAGTGAGTTCATCACTGTTCAAGGTATGTTGTGTTAGCTCAAATTCATTGCTTTTATTACGTCTATGAACTTAGTTAAAATATAATAAATATTTTTTGCAGTCGGTCAGTGTGGGAATCAAATAGGTGGAGCATTCTGGCCTCTAGCTTTGCAAGAGCATGGCATAGCCACTTCAAAACCAATCACTCAACAGCAACGATCTCGATACAATGATGCTTTCCACAGCTTTTTCTGGAGTCCATCGGATGTTACAGGTGCAAGTTACAAAACACTCCACGATTTGGAAAGTGCTAAGGTCAAAGCTAGAGTGAGTATACCTTTTGTATTTGGAAAGGTTTGAATTGACTCAAATTACTATTGTAAATGTACATCTTAGATAACATGTAGGATCTTTGTGTTTGTAGGCTGTTTTAATTGATATGGAGGATAGTGTGGTTGCTCGTTTTCGTAGAGGTCCTCTTCGAAAGCTATTTGATGAAACACTTCTTCTTACAAATTATCCTGGCTCAGGAAATAATTGGTGTGGTAATAGAAATAAGTGCTTTCCTTAAATCTAAGTAGGAATTGAGTTTATCAGTACTATATTTTCATGGATCTTAAATTTTATCTTCAGGGCTGAAGGACACCATACTCATGGAAGTTCTTATGAATCCCGCATTGTAGAAGTTATTAGAAGAGCAGTTGAACGCTGTGATCACCTACATGGTTTTCTCCTAATGTTTTCTGTTGGAGGAGGAACTGGATCTGGCTTAGGAACAGCCACTTTGAAACTTTTGTCCGACTATTTTCCTGATGTTGAAAGGTATTTTTAATTATTTTTTTTTTTTTTACTTTCCTAGTTTTTAAAAGTATAAATATAGCAAAATTTCCAGAGCTAAGTTTTACACTCTCTGCTTTCATATTTGTTTCACTAATAATGTTTATTCCTTTCTTACAGATTCGTGACATGTGTTTACCCTTCTGGCCATGAAGATGTTGTCACAGCCCCGTATAATGTTGTCTTAGCCACAAATATCTTACTAGAATATGCAACATGTGTATTACCCGCTGATAATAAGGTTCAAGAATATTTGTTAAGAGAAGTGCCTGTAAAGTCAAGTTTTTGTCCTGTTTAATTCAAAATATCTATCACATTTTCAGTCTCTGCTAGATATATGTGCATATCTGCAGAATAGGAAAGAGTCAAATGAATCAGCCAAAGCTGTGGCAGCGTCCAGTCCTTATGAAGATATGAACAGTGTCATTGTAAATATGCTTCTGAACTTTACTAGGTTATTACCACTTTTTCACCTTACTATTTTGTTATTCTTAGTTCTCAAGTTTCTAGTCGAACTAAACAATTTTTTTTCCAGTGGATCTCGTTTCCCTGGGAGCTTAAACGTTGACATGAGTGAATTAAGCACTAATATGGTACCTTATCCAAAACTAAATTTTTTATCATGTGGTCTGACACCTTTAGGCTTTTCCTCATCTCAAATACTTCCTGTGTGAGTTGACCTTTCCTTAGGTTTTTTAATATGTAACAAACTAGTAATTGTCTGCAGCCCTAATTTAATTTGTTGTCTATCCTAGACCGAAGCAAGTTGAGCCTTGGGCAAGAGATCACCAGCTTCTCAAAATAGACCCATTGGCTGGTACATTGCTTGGTGCTACTCTACTCAGTCGTGGAAATGTCACTCTGTCAGACCTTCGTTATAATGTGTCCAGGTTAGTGAAAAACAGTATGTTTGTAGGTACTGCATGAACTTCTTTCCAACAAAATTAGTTTTGTGACTTGGTTATTCATATCTCTATGTCTTAATATCACAGGTTGCAAAATAAAGGCAAATTTATTCCATGGAACCAAGATGCAATAAAGGTGGGTTTATGCAGTGTGGCACCTACAGGACATCCAGCTGCTCATCTCAGCCTTCTTAATTCTACCTCAATGGGGGGATTTTTCTCTCATATTGGAGGTCAATTTGATCGTCTCTACCGGCGAAAAGTAAGCTGTAAATTATATGTATACTACTATTTTGCACTGCAGTTATTTGGAATGTTGTAGGCTTATGGAAAAATTTGCAATTTGGATATTTCACTTCTCTGCTTGCAGGCTCATATTCATCACTACCTTCAAGTAGATGGATTTTCCAACTCAGAATTTGTTTTGAGTAGACAATCTCTACTAGACTGCACAAGTCACTATCAGCATCTTACTACCACGCAAAATGCAGTGTTAGATCGCTTGCAAGTTGTATAGACAGTGCATAATTGCAAACATCAAGAACTACTCAAGATATAAAATTTATAGATGTGTTAGGAAAAGGGCTTTGCTTGAACAATTCAAAAATTGGATTAAATTCTCAATTTTAATACTCAATTTAACAATACACACTGCTAATTTTATAGTCTACTGGATATTAGTCCTTTGCTTTCAAACTAACTGACAACAAGTTCATTTACAGTTAAAAACACATTGACATTTTAAAATAAATTTCAATTTCACATGAACTAATTGTCCAAAACACTGTTTTGTTATCTTAATTTCAAAATATAAAAACAAAAACCACACATCTTATTTGCATAATTTCAACAGATCTTTCAGTTAATTGAGAATTATTTATCAATCACAACTCATAATTTAACCAATAATACTTTGGCCTAACTTTAAGAGTTTTTGTGGCACTACGGTGATAAATTCTACACATAGTCAGTCTGACAATAAAATACATCTAACAAATATACATTCTTTTAAAAAAATTTAAGTAATAATAACTAAACAAATGGTCCATCATCTTCTGATATCACATGCTGATGCTGTGCTGTTCTTAAACCTTATACCATCACAAAAGAAGACAAAGCTCTCAAAAATTGGATTTGTAGTCCACATTTAGAGAGCAGATACTTGGAAGAGCAGCTCAACGTCCATAACAATCTGTAGAATCAAGTTTCCAGCTTGGCATTCAGACAACAAAGTAAAAAACATGTACAGTATATTCAATAAATTTTTTGTTGCGTTTTAACATGGATAATAATTTAACAATCATTTCACAGCAACAAATATGATGGCACAGTGAAGAGAAGAAAAGTATGATAATTTCTTTCAACAATGAGAAAGGTATTTGACGAAATTCCGATCTACCCATGGTACAATTACTGTAACAATTTTAAAAAGAAACAAGTACAGGTGATGATTACATTGAATAGTATTTGGTAACATTGACACTCCAGACTAATTTTTCTACATAAAATTAAATAACAACTAATGTACAACGGAAGATCTTTGTGATATACACCCAACATAAGGCAGTTGGCATGAAGTCACAGTCACTGAACACAACTCTATTTAGTATATTTGATCCTATCAAATTACAGTTTTCACAATAAACAGATAACAAAATAACTGAATAACTCAAAACGGCAAGCATTACAAACAATAAAACTGGCTCATAACTGTAACATGAACATAAAAGCAATACACATCTAATGATTTTTGAAATATTAGATGAAACAAATTACAGTCTTTAAGTTGAACAAAATGAATACAGGTGAAATACTGTAACATCCATTAGGTACAAAACATATCAATGAAATTACGTATTCATCAAAACAAAATCCCACCACAATAATGAGGGAACATGAAAGTTCTCAGACAAAATGTCCTCTTTTCTTTTTGTACGACTTAGGAGGATTCCAACAGACTTTAATCAGTAAGAATGGGAAATAGCTGCTAAATATGTAACCAACTAACAAATTCTGCTACAGCTAAAGTTTGAGTATGTAATTTTATAGAATTGTAAGTTCAAACAAACATATAACAACTGTAGGAGGCCATTCTTCATTAACAGAGAACATAATGTCTATTCTGTGAAACTTGTATCACACTTCAATTAGTTTTCTAGGAAGCATTTATGGAAGCCTAAAACTTTCTCCTACAAAATATAAACTTATATGGTTAGTTTTGTGGGAAGTGGGATAACATACCGAACATTTCTCTGCTGAACTGAAAAATCACATCACACATTACTGCCAAATTTGTCACATAGAATTCCAAAAGGATTGGTACATACAGTTTGGTAAGTACAACTTTGACATAATGACAGTTTGCAGGCACATTGAAAACTCAGCCTTGAGACAAAAACAGTTCTGCATTGTAACACAACCAAACACATGACTAGCCAGCAATTGGTTACATGTTAAATTCTAGTCACCTATTTTGAGGTATGTATACTTCACAGTAATGAGCTAACAACAAAACCACATACTACAATACATACCAAGATACACATATTTTTTCGCATGTCCTTGTCTAGCCGAATTTTTTGAGCACGGGCAAGCTCAATTACGGGAAGTGAGATGTGCAATAGGTCAGGAATCATAAGGCTGACGTCACGCATGACCTGAAAAGACAAATACAAAACTTATACTAGAGTTATGAACATTAATACACTATACATTACAAAATTGGAGTCATCATACCTGATGCATATAGCCCTCCCCTCTAACCACATTCAGGACAAATTGATCTGTACCACTTGTAAGAACATGAACAAGAGCAATTCCAACAATACATAAAATTGTACTTGGTGTCACTTTCACTCTGCTGTCAGCCAATCTCATAACAAATGCTGTTGACACCACCTCAGTTATTGTAAAAAAGAGTTGATGATTCCATTGAGAATAAAATTCATCATTCCAGTAATTCACAAAGACCCACCTAAAATTTAAATCAACAATAAAATATGTAAAATTAAATGTATTTGTAAATACATAATAACAAAACTAGGATAAACCTACCATGAATAATAGTGGGAAAACAATGATGACAGAAAAAGAAGAGTCATTGAGAATCTTAAACGGCAGCGTAATCCAAGGAAAGTCAATTGCCTCACACATTCATAAAGCAATATTACAGCACCAACTGTGAGGCACCAAATCTTCAACGTATTCCCAGTAGCATTAAAATAAAGATGTTTGTATGATGCAATGCCCGATTCGTAGGTGCCTAAAACAGTAATACAATTTGCCAAAAACCAACAAAATTAAAGTTAAATTTTGGGAAAATGGGAAAGTGAAAACAGCTGTCTCGTACCTTTAAATACAGTATCCCAGCATGAACATGTGCAGTACCGTTTGTCCACATGACGAGAGTATTGATGCCAGAAGTAATAGAAAAGACCGATATGGAGGGGCGGCAAGAGAGCAGGTGCCAGGTAACCAATGACATTACTGCACACCCATGAAAATGGGGAAGTAAGTTTATGTGGATGGCCAATTCTTGGGTCTGTGGTCGGCAAATCCGATATTACTCCCATTACAGGTGCGAAGCTGTGAAGAAAATATAGATTTTCATGTTGAAAAATACTTAACCAATAGCTAAGATCAGTCATACAAACCCCTATGTAAGCTCTAAAATGAAATAGATGGTACTCAGCAGCACTAGCTGTGGAAAGATAAGTATCATACTTTAAATGATTACCTATAAGATGTGGAAAAACATTACTGTAACTTCAAATTATTGTCCCAGATGTAAACTCCTACATCTATAATTGTTTATTTCTCTATTGGTTTGGTGTCATGGCAACCAAGGCAATGATGACAACAGTTCTAATAATGTTTAATTTCACCGATACATATAAAATAATACTTGGTCAAGCTTCTATGAAATATACAATGCTGAAATGATATATTTGATACTTATTGCACTTTAAAGCACAAGTGGTACTCTATAAATCAACTTAAGATGTTAGGGATTTATCTTGTTTGGTTGGTACGGAAAGAAATAGCGAAGGGAGGGGCAGGTAGAAGATAGTGGAAAGGGGAAGGGGGGCGGAACAGCAGGCCTAGCGCAGCCTAGCGGGGGTGGAGGTGCAGGCAAGGCAGGGGCAGGGGGTGGTGGATGGGCTGTGCTCCTACTGTTTCTAAGAAAGAAAGAACGAAGACCCCCTAACTTGCAAACAGTTCACTGTTATCTCACAGCAGACAAATACTTCTAAAGTTTCCATTATATCCATTTCCGTTCTGCTCTGAGAATGTACGTATGCTGCCAGTTCGGGCATAGTTTTCTATCAGCTCTGCTTTATTCTTCGCGTGTTGCAGGCTAGTCGACTCTTGTCCCTCCGAAATTCTGATTAAAAAGAATGATATTTTTATTGTTAAGTCACATGAGGTCGTTTCTCCAAGATTGCTTCGTTGATGTGTATTCATCCATGCTTTTTATTTTCGCTCAAACAATGCTGGTAGCAGCATTCTTCCACTCTATAACCTTTCTGCTTGGGGCATATATTACTTGCTGGGCCTGTTAAACCTTCATTGTTTGCCAAAGAGGCATATTATTTTTTTAACATTATGCGATAAACTGTGGGAGAGAAAAACATGAAACATTTATTTCACTTGTAAAGATGATTAAAAAAATATTCTACTATTAAAAAAATATATAATGTATTTGGCATGTTCTATTTTTCAGGGTAATTCACACTATACGATGCACAGTTCCTCAATGTTTTCTTCTTACTGGGCAGAAAACTTTCAACACAACACCTCAACTCAGAGATGATGTTTGTTACCCTACTGCCTCATATGGTAATTTTATAATAATTCTAAAATGTTCTTTTTTTTTCATTGTGCATTTAATATTCCACATTCTTTTATCAGGTACAAGCACAGAACCATTGGTGGGACGATGGCAGAGGTTTCAACGTTACATTTCAAACTGGCGTCCTCTTCGTATTGGGGCCTTTGGTCTTGTATTGGTGGTCGCTGCCTTTCAGTGGAGACAAAGGTCCCAACCAGAGAATCAAGTTGCCAAGAAGTGGGAGGTATAATTTAGTATCCTAATATTGATGTAGCTGTGTTAAATAATGAATAACTGACTGCCTATCTCCTTTATTTATAAAGGTCACATGCTATCGCATGATTCCACTACGAGCTTCTTCTCGGGCTTGGGGTTGGCTGACCAATTTGGAACTACCGCGCTTGATTAGACCATGGGTGTATGGTTTTTATGCAGACATGTTTGGGTGCAAAATTCATGAGGCTGAAGTTGAGGATCTGTACTGTTATCCATCGCTCTCTGATTTTTTCTGCCGTCAATTGAAAGAAAATGCCCGACCCATTGATCCAATAAGAAGCATTGTAAGTCAACATTCTAATTGTTACTTGGCTTTGTCCTCTGTCAATTTACCAGTTTCTATATTGCTATCTTATTTGTACAGATATCTCCTGCTGATGGGCGGATCTTGAATTTTGGGCGTGTAGATGGCTGTCATGTTGACCAAGTGAAAGGAATCAAATATTCTATCCCTGCTTTTCTTGGTGAGCCAACATGGCGCAGGACAAAGGACTTTCAAAATTCTGGAGGTGATGCCAAGGTGACTTATGATCCAACCAAGGTTGATTGGAATGAATATAAAAAACAGCTACTGCAAAACAAAGACACAGATTTGTATCAATGTGTTGTATACCTTGCCCCTGGTGATTATCATCGTTTCCACTCTCCAGCTCAGTGGACTGTGAACTTCCGACGTCATTTTCAAGGCAAGTAAATCACAGGAATGTTGGTTGCCCTCCATGTTTTCTTTGTTGTTATTATCTTAACATTTATTTTTTCAATCTGTAGGTGATTTACTTAGTGTAAGTCCTCGAATTGCTAAGTGGATTCCTGATTTATTTTCATTAAACGAAAGGGCTGTCTATGTTGGCTCTTGGAAGCATGGATTTTTTTCTTTTGGTGCAGTTGGAGCTACTAATGTTGGGAACATTCGTGTTATTTGTGATGAGGTAAATTTTCTGCTCTAAACTAAGGTGAATGGATAATGTCAGTTCAATTTGTATTACTGTTTAATTTTCTTTTTTTTTTTAACTTCCAGAGCCTACATACAAACATGCCCAAATGGCCTAGAGGGCAGCCACTTCAGCGTGATGCATTCTTAGGTTCTCCTGAGAAGGGTATTCCTTTCAAGAAAGGTGAACTGTTTGGAGAGTTTAGGTTAGGTTCTACTATTGTGCTACTGTTTGAAGCTCCTAAAGATTTTATGTTTGACCTAGAAAAAGGTCAAAAAATTGAAGTGGGCTCTGCCCTCAGTAAACTTTCGAAGTGAACTATCTCCTAGATCAATTAATTCATACTAGTCTTCGTGTTTCATTTGCTTGCTCTTTCAGTCCATTTTTACAAGACTCAGCCAACAGTCAGCAGTTTGATTTTGATTGGAAGCAAATGAAACACATAGATATCATTTGGTGTATTATACTTATGTCTTTGCAGAATATGTATGTGTAATTTAAATCAGCCAATTGAATACAGTAAACGCCGCTTATAGCGCTCCCGTATATAACATAATCCCAATGGCGCAAAGCTACACTGCAACTTTAGCGTTGCAAATCGGCATTAGGGGGGAAATGCATTTAACATTTTCCCAGTATGACGTTGGGAAATCGGCACAATTAGAGGCCATGTTATGAACGGCTTTTACTGTACCATTGGTGCAGGTTTACCTTTTTTGGTGACTTGGTGAAAATTTTATTAGCCATACATGCATCATCATTGTAGATATATTTGTCAGAACATGAACTTTAGAAGTCAGTTAAGGCTGAGGTAGTAATTTAAAATGTATAAGGTTTTGTACATTGTGTTCAAAAGTAACAGTACTTTGTGATTGATATAAGTATGCTGGTCTGGTTAGTTTTATTTTATATTGCTATTGAAATCAGGCAATGATCTGATACCTCTGTTTTTTATCATTTTGAGATGGATTGATCTCATTGCTTGTCCTATGAGAGTGAAGTAGTTGTATGACTGTAACATTGTACATTTAGGTGACCTCAATTCTGTGATGTTATACATTTCCTTACGTTCTTAAGTTTTGGAAATGTATTGTGATATCACTAATCAACCAATTTCAAATACAGTAGTTTTAACTTTTCAATGTCTGAAAAGTAGATCATTTCATTCAACAGTGTGTACTGAATTTACAGTCATTTCTTGAACAGATCAGAAAAGTTGTGTAATTTTGAAAAGACTATTATGGAACATTTCTTACTAATATATTTTACTTTGTCATTGTCTGAAGCACATTAAGTGCTGTGGAACTTGCAATGTCTGTGCTTGCTGACCAAGGCATGAGTTTCTATAACTTGACTAGTATTTAAAGTCAAGAATAGACAAATGCCCATTTGCTCATTTCAACTTAAATAGTTGTGTGGTACCTGATAATTTTAATGAAGATGTTAATTAACTTCATATATGCCTTTTCTGAAAATGAAGTGCATTTATACATGTATATTTTTTGTCTATCATTGTTATTCATGCCAAGAATTTTCACAACTGGTTACATTACACTGTGGCTTACACTGGTTTTAGATAGGTATTCATCTCTGTATTCATTACAAACCCTGTTAAGAAATTTACTGTGAAAAAGTCATGGACCTTAACATTACATCACTGTTTGTTTTGTTGGTGAAAATCTTATTGTGGCCAGCCTTATTCATGAATTAAATCAGCTGGTTCTACATAAAAATGCTGTAAAGCACCTATCTGTTGTGCTTATTATTATCTTTACCAGCTGGATGTTAATAGATTATAACTGGTCTCATGATTGCTTACTGTAGTTGATGCTTTGGCTTTTTTCCTGTGTTTGCTACTATGTATTTGTGTATCTCAGAGACTATGTTGACTTATTCGCATGTAATTGTCTATCTTTACTTTTTTGCATCTGCACACAACTGTTCTCAGGAGGAATGGATTTTCAAAGAAAAAAACGACAGCTCCTAAAGTTTAATGTTTTAACTTTTCCATGACCCTTGTTTGAGTTTTATTCTGATCAGTATTTTACAGAAAGAGGTGTTGAAGCGTCTATTTTTTTAATAACTCATAATTTTTCAGTGGTTGTCATACCCAAAACATCTTAAGAAGCTGAGGTGTGCGTCTAGGTGGCGCTTCGACTAAGACGGTAGTTGCAATTGGTCATTGATATTCTGTGTCAACCCCTTGCCAAAATAAAAGCCTGAATTGTGCAGGGCCTCATTCCTCTCAATGGCGTGCTTCTATGAAATTTCTCACCCCATGACAAAGCCCAACACTTAACACTTCTTCAGGTGTGTCAAAATTTCTCCGTGTTCAGGGTACTTGATCCCGCGCCTAGCGCTTCCCATAGGTTTTCAGTCCGTCACGCTGTAGTGCGGACATGTTTCTAAACGCGACGCCTTACCTCTTCTGACCGTGGCATGCCCCCGTTCGGCTGGGGGGGGGGGGTGCACTGTCGGTTGCCTGCATTCCGGGGTTTTGTGGAGTAAATTGCCTACCTTTCAGGCGTCTCTCTAGAGCCCCCCCCTTAATCCGCGCCTGATCAATCCCATTACTGTTACGACCTTCACAAGAAATGCACTCAGCGGCAAACTGCGTTGCTGGACAGCTAATCGGACGTCGACGTGGCGCTTCCCTTCGTGAACCAACCAAACACCCGAACCTTGCGGTGCGGGTGCGATACGGCGAACTCCATTTTCTGAAATTTAAGACAGTTACTTCGGAACCGCGTGTCGCGCCGTCGCGTTGGAGGACCCGGAGCCGGCCGAGAGGGTCCCCACTCCGTGGTCCCCCAGGGTCTCCAGGGCTGTCCGGCCGGGGCCCCGCCGGGCCGCGCTGGCCACATAACGTCTATTAGACGGTAGCGAGCCACGGTCACCGGGTGGCGTGGCGCGGCGCGGAGTGAGTGCTCGGCCCGACATGTGGTTTCGCGAGGGACGGGATGAGACGGTCTGGGGCGCGCGGGCGGCGGGGGGAGTCTGAGTCTGGGGCTCGGATGAACCAGCTCCTGATGACGCGCAGCGGTCCGGACGCCTTGCCTTCCCCGGCCGTCATTTCCGCGGCGCCTGTCACAACGGCAGGAGGGGAAGGCGGACGGGGCGAAGGAGCCGTCCTGCTGTAGGGAAGTCCTTGGCCCTCGGCCGCACTGTTTGCACTGCTGCGGCTCCCAGTGACACTTGGCCCCCCAGCCGGCCAGCCCGGGCCACCCACACGGTCCGTGACCAACCGTGACCCTGGGCGCCCCCATGCTGGCCCGGGTCCTCCCGCCCGCCGCCCGCCCGAGGCACCCGTGGACACCTGCTCCGTCCAGCAAAGTGGCACACAGGGAGAGCAGTGCAGATGTGGTCACGTAGTGACGTCGGTGCGTGGAGATGCGATGGATTTGTTTTCGCCATGCAGCCACAAAGTTGTGCGTTGTGCGCTCTGGTGAGGTTGAAGAGATAACCCACTACATTACCATCGATTTGTGTGCGTACAACCAGGCTGGCGTTGACGGGACGGTGGCGCGCCGCCTTACTTTTTCTCTGAGAAGGAGTGAGCCATGACACCCTTCGGGAACCGAGCTATATCATCCTCCCGCCGACCTGCTCCGGTATTAGAAATCGAGCAGATTACTTTCTCAAAAAGACTAGTCCATTTCGTACCTTGAGAATGCATAACACGCAACTGTGTGCCAACGGGGGCGACTCACCCTCCCAGTGCCCACCCTCCCCAACCCCGTCTTTCCCGACTACTGCTTTTCATCCCGGAGGCAGTGTATCATTTCTCAGCGTCGACGGCCGGCGCGGCGCTGACCGCGGGTGACGGGAGCAGCAGCAGCAGCAGCAGCAGCAGCAAGAGATCACACGACATGGAGGAAAAGCAAAGCGAGCTGAGGTAAACACGGCGCCGCTCTGCCCGCTCTGCTCATACCGATGAGCGTGGCCTGCGGCGGCCTTGTCCCGGGCCGACCCCTATTCCTCAACGACCCGATCCGACCCGCCGACCCCCGGCGGCCTGATACGAGAGGGTTGTTGGTCGGGCGGCGGCGGCGGCGTGGCGGCGGCTGCGTTTTGGCCGCGAGTCTCGTCGAGGTGAGACGGCGGCGGCGCTGCGTGACGTGGCGCAGGCCAGATACCATAGGCTTAGAGCACCCCCCCCCCCTCCACTCCTTTCCCCTTGCTGCGATCTTGAAATCGAACCGACGTTTATGTCCCACTCATAATCATATAACAAGTCGGTGTGCGGCGTGCGCACCCGGAGGAGGAGCCGCAGCCCGGCGAGGATGTGTTGCGCACGCACGAGGGGGATGTCGCGGGGAGGCCGAGCTTTAAAAGCAGCCATCGGTTTGGAGAACGGCTTGTTGAACCCCCTCCCCATCCTTCCCGCAGCGATGCCCGAAGACTATTATGTGGTACACATTGCTTGCACGCGCGTGTGGCAACCCCTGACGCTTGCACTCCTTTTGCTCGTCAGCCCCCCATCGAACCTGCCTATAGTTCAGCCTCTGCAAGCTGTCGGAGCGCCTGATAGGTAGGCAACACAGTGCCTGCAGTGCATGCGAGTACTGTGGGATGGCCTACCCCGAGTCTCGCAGGCACCAAGCTACCGTATATTGCGTCTAAAAACCCCGAGGAAAAAGGCAGCGCCACTGCGCGCCACTGTCCGAAAAAAGTACGAGTTGGTATGGCGGTGGCGGATGCCGCAATACGTCATACGACGAAATCGTTATTGTCACTTGGCGGAGCCCGCCCGCCGCGTTTGTCTTGAACCTTGCTGAGCGTTGATGGTGTTTGATCTTGAACCCGCCCCGCCCGCGCGCCCGTGAAAATAGCGAGTCAATCAGAGGGCGGGGCGGAGGAAGAGGTGGTGAAGGGAGGGGTGGGGTAGGAGAGGCGCCGCTACGGGGCCTTTTCATTCATCCTTGTTCCGCGGTAATTTCCCCCCGCGGGGCTGTACTTTACACACTGCGCTGCACTCATGGTAAAAAATTATATTTTTTATTTTACAGTGCACCGTTCGACACCGTTACTTTATCGGACGTCGTTTTCCCTTTTTTCAATACGAAACATATCGTGGTAGAAAACCCTTTCGTGGTCACTGTGCCACTTTACCGCATGGATGGGTTATAGGCCTCTTCGAGGCGTAAGGGGCAAAATGGTCCGTTTCTAGTACGGTCAAGGGAACGGTCAAGCGGCTGCCGTCATTGGCATTGGATCCACCGTCAGATTTACCGACCAGAAGCAATACGATTAGAGTAAAAAAAAGTCGTGAGGGGGCAAGGGGGTCATAAGAGGTTGTGGTGCCGGCGCACGTCCAGAGAGTCTCTCGTTTCAGGTATGACGTGCACTGATCAGACTGGCGATGATTGTCATTTATTGGATAGGTTCTAGTTGAAAATTACCCAATCAGGGGCCTCGAAAACCCACTAGAACGTATCCAACAAGTGACAACAGTAGCCAGTCTAAACCGTGCAACAGAAAAGTGAGCTTTGTGGATCCTCAACCCCCAATCCCGCCAACCTCTGCCAGCTGGACGACGATGATTGATTTGGGAGCTGCCATAAGGGACGGCAGCGCCGGTTTTGACTACTTACTAGGTGGAATGTGTGCCAGGGGGAGGCAAGAGGCGACGAAAACATGTGATCGGAATGCGAGGACATATAGAGGATCACGCAGACTGGATTTTATAGGAATTTCATTGTTTCCGATGAAAATGTATAGAGAAGTGTGATGACTTTCATATAAGGATGCAGGAAGAGCACCGTTTTGTTTATTTTTGTGAGAGTCCGATGTCGCACAGGAGCGGGACCCTGTGCGGGTGTCTGTGTGTCTAGGAGCCCTGAGGAGCAGTCACCTGGAGGGAAGGCCGGGGGCCCCGCGGGCCGGGCCGGGGGAGGAGAGGGGGTCTGTGCAGCCAAGCGCACATGTTGCTATTTAAAGGCAGCAGCAGGCGGGATGATACCAGTATCATCTATCTCATCATCCACGGCACTTCTTCTTCCAGGACCATGAAGTTGGTAAGTTTTTGGTGTCGTCGTGCGACTCTCGAAGATGGTGAAGATCTCCTCTTCACCCCATCAGTGCGTAAGCCTCCGATAGGCAAGAAGAACGTCTGCATCCGAGTGGCAGTGTGTGAGTGCGTGTGTGTGTGCGCGCCCTCCCGACTTAAAGGATACAGTGGCAACGTGCAAAATAGGTCCTGAAAGTAGGCAATAAACGACTCGCACCCTCAAAAATTAATTGGCACCTCTTAAGCGGTGTGCAGACACAGCCCCTTTGTTTTTACAGTGCGCTGGCTGGGTGATTGTGTCACCCTTACGTTTACCTTACCTTACTCACTTAAGATTCAAAATTTGTGTATTGAAAATCAAAAGTGAGCGCCAGTTTCAAGTCAATATGAAATCAGTGACATTAGTTGACGTTACACAACCCGTGTTCGTTGGTACTTTGGATTAGAGTTATGAACCAATCTTTTCTTTTTAATGCTTGCAAAGAACAGGTTTATGGTGGCGCACTAACTTCTTTGCCTCGTCACTCTAAATGGCTAGGGCAAGGGACAATATATGTCTATAGCAATTGCTATTTGTGCTATGTCCAAATCTTCGCAAGGTGCAGTTTGGAAGCCTAAGTTGTGACAATTATCCCCTACTGCGAACTTTTTTTGTAAATTCCAACTGTAGTGACGAGTTTGACACTAGACAAGCTTAGAAATTGCATCATCAAGAGTTGCACACAGACGCATCTTGCATTTGGAATGGTCATACATTGTCTCTTGCCGTTTAGACTGATACGGAGAATTTTCTACCATTGTATTGCGGACTAATTCATGGTATGCTTTCGAACAATGAGTTCTTACTGCAAAATCAAATGTTTGTAAGGATTTTCATGAGATAGCAAAGAAATGCTTTGCAATACACTAACAAATTCTTGGAAATATGCATAATGAGAATCCTTCACAACGTTTCAAAGAATTTGGTTTGTAAGCATTATATACAGTGCAAGCTTATTGGCACTAAATCAGTGTAAATATGACACACACAGTGCTTCATAAAATCCATTGAGTAGGGACGCTGTCTCCCCCTCAATCCTTTCCCCCGCTCCTCACTGAACGCATTCCGTACCGCTACCCGCCCCATGCCCGCCCCCCGGCCTGGGCCGCCTACCGCAGCTGCACGATGGGTCGCCTACCCGGCACGGGGCTCGCCGCAGTCAAGGCTCCTGACGCGGCGCGATGAGCTGGAACGCTTCCCCCCGTTACACTCCGAGTTTTCATTTCTGCCTCCACTCAGATTAAATGCGCTATACATTTTCGATGAAACCCCCTTCGCTTTTATTGTGCGCGAGAGGATGTGATGCCCAGCTGCACTCGACGCGATCGCACTGCTGCTGGGCGACACCGATAACCGCCACAACAGCCGCATCGCTGCAGAGCAGAACAGCCCCCAGCAGACGGGACGGCACGGGGCGGGACGGCCGGTGAGAGGCGGGCTGTCACTGGCCCGTGTCGACGCGGCGTGCACTCCACAAATAAACGCGCGCGCGGCGATCCGACCGGCGATCCCATCACTTACTCGTGTACGGCAAAGTAACTGTCGCGATACCACGTCAGAACGATGGCGATTATGATGACGGCGTCGTCGTCGTCGTCGACTCGTTTCGCCTTGTCGATGCGTCTTGCCGATATCGTTTCGATGCCCTATATCGCACCGGGGATGCATGCCGCCGTCATACGGCCTTGCCCCGAACACTCCAGTTAAGAGAGGACGTCGCGTTCTTTCAATTTATTGACCGCGCGTCGGCCTCGGCGCTGGACGTTCGGGCCGGGCTCATCGCCTCCCGGAGACCTGTCCGGCGGGGCGCGAGGCGCGCGCGCGCTCTCTGATCGGCAGGAGGGCCTTGTAGGGAATGGATGGGGCAAATGGGTGCCGAGCGAGCGCCGGACCACCGCGCCGCCACCCGCGAGTGACAGTCCCCCCCGCCGCATACCACGCGGCGGTGGACATGGACGGGGCACTCTTCCCCTCACTCTCTTTGCGCCACACTTTGCCCTCAAGGTGAGAACACGGTACTTCGCGACGACGGGCGACCCGCACCGCTCCGGATAGTGGCGGCCGCAGCCGCTCTGCTCTTAGTGTGTCGAGCGGTCATAAATGTCACGGGTTCGAATCCCTGCTCCGCGTTGTGTTCCAGCTCGCAGTGGTCGCGCTAGTGGGCTGCGCGTGCGCCGCCCCCGCGCGCCTGGACCAGACCTACTTGCCGCCCGCCAGCGCGCAGTCGGCCGGCGGCGCCAACCTGGCCGCCCCCCTGCCGCCCCCCAACAGCTACCTGCCGCCCTCAAGAGGTGGTGGCGGCGGCGGCGGCGGTAGCGGCGGCGGCGCCAACCTCGCCGGTGGCATCGGCGGCGGCGCTGGAGGTGCTGGAGGCGCTGGAGGCGCTGGGGGCGGTGGCGGCGGTGGTGGCGCTGGCGGCCAGAAGCCCATCGCCATCATCAAGCTGGAGAACGTGAACAACGGTGACGGATCCTACATGTTCAGGTGAGTGTGGCTTGGGAACCAAAAGCGTGTCACATTATGGCTCATGTGACATTGTGGGTTAACAACCCTAAAATTACCGTCTTCAACTCATCAAAAATAAAATAAAATAAAATAAAATAAGAGAACAAATATACACATTAGCTTTACTGCATGTGTCACTTGTACTGTCGCAGCTACGAGACGGAGAACGGCATCCAGGCGGAGGAGAAGGGCGAGCTGAAGCCCGGCGGCGAGGAAGGCATCCAGAGCGCGGTCGGCTCCTTCTCGTACACGGCGCCCGACGGCCAGCGCATCGAGCTCTCGTACACTGCCGACGAGAACGGCTTCGTGCCCAAGGGGGCCCACCTCCCCACGCCACCGCCCATCCCCGAGGCCATCCAGAAGGCCCTGGAGGCGAACGCCGCCGAGGAGGCCGCCGGTGGCGGCTTCCAGGGTGACGACGGCGGCGCCGCGGGGTACCCCAGCGGGGGTCCGAGCGGCGGCGGCGACGCCGGCTACCGGTACTGAGGACGGCGGCGACCCGGCGGCGGCACCCGGCCGCCGGCAACCAACTAATTTATTGAAACCAAACGTTCAATACGCTGAATAAAATTGAACAGTTTTTGTATAAAACAGACATATGCGGTGTCGTGGTGCATTTTCTCCCCACCCATTGCATCATACATGGTGCCCGCGCCGGTATGCGCGGTATGCCGGCCGCGGACAACCGCACTGCACTTTGTTTCTAACATTCAAGAGGTCTCGGCGGGCGGTCGCAGCAGACGAGTCCTGCGCCAGCGCGAGGACACCCCGTCCTCCTCCTCCTTTCCCTGTCACGCCGCCTTCCTTGATGGCGATACGGTTGTGTGTTATTAAAATGAGCCACCGATAAATTATCCGCTCGTCATGTCTTAATTTACACCGGTGACTCGTCGTCGGCGACCTCTGCGAGAGCACACTCCTGCCATTAGTTAGTTGTAATACTGCAGAACGACAAGGAGGGTCTTTGAGAGGCGCCGCCGTATGCTGCGGTACGGTGCGGCCTGCCGCCTGCGGCCAACCTGCGGCCCAACCTCAACCCGGCCACTTATTTGCTCGGCTCCGCTCCGCGGCCCCCACTGCCTGCCTCCGGTGATCGCGACTCCTTCCTTCGAGCACACTTATCCTTTCCGCACGCCTGACTGACACCACACTATTTCCAAGTTCCCGGGAACATGGGCTCATATGATGAAGGACTTAACCGACGAAACGCTGTCTGTCTAGCTGACTTATTCGATTGTGTTCAAATTTTCAACTTGTCATCAGATCCTGTCAGATCATAGTCTTCCGGTGCGCAGCTGCTCGTCAAGACTCCGCAAAACAGCCACACTGTAAAACGTAGAGTGACCTTTCTTTCCCGAATAGAGCGACGTATAGAAACTGTCGCAGAAACGACTCTAGACGAGCAACGTTTGCGAAAATGACTCAAAATGAATCTTATTCGTAACCAAAAATGTTGCGAAAAGATACTTCAAACGAGCGATGTAATAAATATCGCTCTCCCAAGAGTCGTCAAATTTGATTCACAAAATCGCTCTATTTGGATCGTATTTGGTCACTCCTTTACTTGTAGTGCAGATGATTGGTCAGTCTCGAATGAATCTGGGGTGGCGTCCGACCTTTTTCCGAGCCAGATTGGGCTTTTGTATTGATATTTTTCACGTCCAGTTTCGTGGTGTATTGTCAGCATGTTCGCTTCGGCATTGTCGGGTTCACGTGTACACACAGGTCACGTTTCGTTTTGTCGAGCTGTATAGATAGTGGTGTGAGTGGGAAAGGTTTGGGGAAATGCGACAGGTTCTTACAAAAATTATGTCTTTATTGAGCTCTTATTCGAAGGCTGGTAACTCTCTTGTCAGGTAACAAACGAATAAAATATAACACTATCAGACCCGCACCGAAACCCGCGATCGAGTATTTACAGGCGATGAAATGTACAATAAGATTTACCCGATGAAAGGGAAACAAGCGCGGTGTATAAAACTCTGACAATGTAAAACACGTAAATGACTTAGGCTAAGGACAGACTCTACACATGGTAACTCTTCGTTGAGATCCGCGATCGCGCGTCTGACGCGCGATTCACATTCGTTCGATCGAATCATCATTTTGATTGCAATTTAAGAACAAAATAAAGCTGCCGCGGACGCGATGTTGCCGCCGCGCCGAGGAGGGAGGCTGAAAGGAGGGCGGAAGGGAGACGCCGCCGCGGCGCAGGATGGCCATATTTCTCATACTCGGCCGGCCGATAGCCATCCACTTCGGTTCATCGTCATCGCCGGGGCAGAACATAAAACTAGACGGACGAGAAGTGGTGCCTATCACGCCGGCGCCTCCCGGACTTGAACCTGGAGCCTTGGCCTTCGCAGTCGCTCCAGTTCCCACCGCGGCGGGCCGGGGGCGGCGCGGCGCAGAGGGCCGCTCAGTACTGGTAGCCGCCGTTGCCGCCGGGGCGCCCGGAGGGGTAGCCGCCGTTGCCGCCGGCCGGTCCGGAGGGGTAGCCACCGCCGCCGCCGTTGGCCCCGATGCCGTTGTAGCTGCCGTCGTCCACGACGCCGTTGGCCTCGTCGGCGGCGTTCTGCTCCAGCGCCCGCTGGATGGCCTCAGGGATGGGCGGCGGCGTGGGCAGGTGGGCGCCGTACGCGAGGAAGCCCCGCTCGTCGGCCGTGTACTGCACCGAGTAGCGCTGGCCGTCGTCGGGCGCCGTGAACGAGAAGGAGCCCTCCGCGCTCTGGATACCCTCGCCGCCGTCGGGCTTGAGGCTGCCGCGCTCCTCCGCCTGGATGCCGTTGTCCGTCTCGTAGCTGCAACAGAAGACGGGTGTTCAAGACCAGCTCCCAAACGTTGACACACACACCCGCTGGATACAACAGGCGCACACAGCGGGGGGCCCGTCAGTTCTAATGCCTAGGCTAACTAGGTGAGCGCGCCGCTAACAAGCCCGTCCCGGACTGGACCGCCGCGCCCCGCCCTGCCACGCCCCGCCCTGCCACGCCCCGCCACGCCCCGGCGGTCAGCTGATCGTGTACATTCATCTCCCGCACACAGACAGCAACAGGAGTGTGGCCAGTAATAGCCT